TATATAATGTAGTCAATTCCATAATTTGTTGTGCAAAGGGAATGTGTGCTTCGATCGGCCCTAAATATTAAATGAGTGCAATTTGTCTTGCAAAACTGTGAAAAGGTGCAGAAGTATAGGTTTCAATAGGGCATAAAAATGGAAAAACAGGAAAAGGCTGGTTTACATGCCACCAGATTGGTCGGCAAGATTTTTGAAAAGTAAACTTGTCAAACAAAAATTGCGGCCTCATTTTTTATTTTGGCCTCTCTTTTAGACAAATGAATGCAACCTAGAAACTGAAACGTGTAAATTGGCTGCCCACCGAGGACTATCATGACTTATTATCAGCCTTTATAGCAGAAAAATTGTATTTCAGCGCTGTCCAATTAACCTTATAAAATAAAGTTGGTCATGGGTGGGCGACCGGGTTATTTTGTTTAGAAAGATTTTGTTTTCCAGGCCTAATCTACTGTGATGGGAGATGATTGCTATTTTTTTAACTCAATGTAACATTTGTTTAACCCTTAAACTGTTTGCAAACTCTTGTTTCTCTTAAATCACTTAGCCTTTCCCTCAAGTTCACAGGATTGTGGCCTAAAGTTAACCGATTTGTGGATTACAAGTTTATTGTTTGATTTAAATTATAAATGTTTTACAGGAGCTTCGCCTTGGGCCCTAGCTAAAACTATTTAGTATCACCCAACTAGTGGACCAATGCGAATCCTGCATTTTAATTGGCTACGCTACTAGAGGACTATTAGTACACACAGTCCTCTAGCAACGAAACTCGCCGGTTTTTAAACCTACCAAAACCATGACGGCCACTTCGTGTTTTGTGGAAATTTCAAAGGAGGTTTTCGATAATTTACTGGATAATTCCACCACAGAAAAGACCAAAAAGGCAACAAAGTATGGGATGAAGATCTTTCATGGCAAATTTTGTTTTTTTTTGTTAGTGGACAAAATCACGACTTTTTTAAACAAATTCAAAACAAATCAAGCTTTACTTTTTTCGATGTCTCTTCAATATATTGTCACTTTTTATGTAGTGAGAACAAAAATGGAGGACAATTCACTTGTTTCAAGATTAAGAACTAGGTGAACTATTGGCTAAACACATGGCAAGAATAGCAAGAAGACAACTCGAAGGGTGACAACTGCTATTTGGGCAATATAGTACCTATCGTAAAATCAACTCTCATTCCTTCTTTAATCAGCTTCCACGCCAATAATCTGCTTTTCGCTTACGACACTAACACTATGTTCTTCCACTGAACAACCATAAAAACCATCTTGACTATGAAATGAAGAACTTTAACATCTACACATATGCGATCAACCGAAGATACAAATTCAAAGATAGGCGCCAAGAGAGTGAATAGAGCTTCTTTGTTTAGATATGAGAACGAGGATAGTCATGTGAGAATGTGTTGTTCTCTATTATCCTGTCATTGGTTCTTGATGAGGTCATATGTTCCACCAAAAGAAATCCGCTGGATTACTCTATTGTAGTTTCAAAACACATGAATTCTTCTTACAGCGAGGAAATAATGTTGCAGTGGATTTAACTTCTGTCGGAAAATCGATTGACCAGCCACTTTACAAAGAGATTACCAATGACAGTGAAACAGGGTTTAGATGCTTGATTTGTTTCCAAACGTTGTCCAGGAAACAAAGGATTGAAAGTCACTTGAGTTCTATTCACAGCCAAGGTGAGTGTCGGTAAATGTTCAGTTTTCTTTTCAAGAGCCACATATGTTTGATAATTGTTCTCATAGCAGTGTTTCATCTCTCTTCGTTTTGCATAGTGGGAAATCGCAAAAGAAAGTATAAAAAGTATGTGGATGATCCCAGTGTTCCATTACCAAAATCAACCAAGTACCACCGCATCTATCGTTCAAAAGATCAACTCTGCTCAGCTTCATCGTCTGTCCTTCTTCAGTGTCATGACTTTACTCAACAAGTGATGCAAAGGGGACCAGAACCTACTGCAACAACTTTAAAGGATCAAGTGATGTGTGCAATGCCAAAGTCCACATTTGATTTTGAAGGTACATTAGGGGAGGAAATGGAGTCGACAATAACTTTGTCTGTTACCTGCTCCAATGAGACTGTTGTCAGGGAATTCGAATTCGTTGACAGACTCAGACAGCGAGTGTAATGGAACTTCTTCCGATGACTCAGTTACTTCTGCATTTCTATCAGTCTGAACGCTCTGATACTGACGACCAAGAGTCACCTGACCAGTGCGATGAAACACCAAAGAAAAGTTCTCAAGGAAAAACATTTTCAGCCCAAGAAAAAAGCATGTATGGCTATTCTTGCCTTAACTGCAAGACACTGCATTACAACCGAGGCCACTAAAGATATCATTGATTATTGAAAGTACTCTGTCCAGTTGATGAAACATTGCAATCTCTCAGTTATGTGAAAGTGCAGGAAGTGTGCCGAAATTGTGAACTTACCGTTATGATTAATGTTTATGATTATGACTCAGCTACATTGATCTGTTGTTATTTCCTCATTTTCTAAGGACAATTTGTTTATCAGACGTTTTCCAAAGACCATTTACTATTCAGTTTCTGTCTTAAGGTATTCCTGGTGGCTAAAGTGACTATCACCGATCGCTGTCATTTTTTCTCAGTTCAAAGATGATGGCAATAGGAGTTTTTCATGCAAAATTTAAGGTTGGGATACCAAAAAAAATAAACAAGATATGAGTGAGAGACTGTTTTCAACCCTGTTTTTGAAGACACCATACTGCGTCCAAAACATGTTTATCTGGCGATCTAACTCCCTAAGGATAGACCTTGTGACAGCTTGTTGGTATAAAGTTGTGTTACCTGATATGCCTATTTCTGTCTGGCATGCATAGCAATGGCGGTGGATTGTGCAGTTCAGGAGCTGAATGAAGCGTTCAAACAGAGCAGGTTGGTAAATTTCCTTAATACAGTTTCTTTAGTTTTGGAAATTTTGAGAATTTTTGGTTTGGTTAACGTAACCTGTTTGCCAGTTAGTTTCCAGACAGTTCCTTTGGGTCTCATTCAAAGATTTACGAGGAAGGAGAAGTGACAAACAAGCCAGGAAGAGGTGTTTTTGCTGCATTTTTGATAATTTATGGGTATGTTTTCTTTGTCTCTATTGTATCTCATGTAACTGCATGACAAAACCGTATCATTCTGCCTTCAACCTTCCATTACTTCTTGATACACGGTTGTGTGCGCTTTTTGCCCCTCTCACCTCGCACATGATGTGTTTCGCTATTCAGCTAGGTATTCATTTATTGTGCAATTATTTTTTGCGCTATTTGTGCAGTGCAAGTGACCATAAGGTACATCTTTTGGTGAACCTTTTGCGATCATTTGACAATTTTTGATTTTTATATGCACATGTATGCGAAACGTCGCTGTGATCTTTAAGACAATTTGTTGCACAAGATACACCACATTTGAGCAAAGTGGTCATGAGGACATTTTTGCTTTTGGACAGCCTTATCAAAGTTTGACCTTTCTTCGGTTCGCGTTTTGTGGATTACTTTTAAATGTCAGTGCCAATGCATTATCCAGGTTTTTTGTCCTTATTATCAATCTCATACCCTTCTACTCTATTTTCTTCAATTAAGTTTGGAAACAAAGTGGGGGAAGGTCAATTTTGAGGAAAGGCTGTGCCCACCTACGTTTATCCAGAGTGCACCAAGTCATCAAAAGTGCTCTGATATTGTAAGATTTGAGGGATTTGGGAAATCTCGAAACTTCCACGGGAAGACTTGTATAATGTTTGAGAACCCCTACCCCACTCCCTATGTAACCCAATTTCCCAATCATTTTCGTATTTTCACGTTCAGATGAAACATTTAAAATCCTTTTGCAAGTTGTTACTTTGCGTATTGCATTTGCTCTCTTTGCATCCACTTCTGTTTGGAAATTTTCAGGTATACAAGGTCACTATGTCTGACCTTCATGATAAGACAACAGTAATAAATTATTCAGAATTATTCTTATCTATAAGAGACATTATTACATTATAAATTTGTTTGAAAAATAATGAAAAAGATGAGAATCAATTTTTTCAACGCGATTCAGACTGAATGTGATAAAAATGCAGTTGTTTAAAATAGTGTATGAAATGTCTATTTTATTTGGAATATATTGCCCAGCATTAGAGCCACTACCTTACTGATGAAGCTCTGATGCCCATGGTAATTATATTTTTTGCAAAACGGGAAACTAAAAATGATCCCACTTCTTATTCAAAATGCCTGAAAAGGTTTTGAAAGCGAAATAAAATAAAATACTTAAGACCATGGGCAATTTTGTTCTTGCTAATCAAGCCGAAGAATTGACCATTAAAATCCTTCAAATTAAAGAATTCTATTGTCGTGTACAAACAAGTGGCAAGCTGAAATGCTCAACCCAGCTTTTACGATCAATCCATGTTTAAAGTACCCTAAAATTTTTTTTATCTGCTATTTGCCTCAATTCACAGCGAGGAAGTGATTGTATCCCAAACTACAGAGAAGGTCGTGAAACTGGCCAAGGCCACATATCTAGATCCAAAGGATAATAAAGGCAAAGATGGTATTATTATTGTATTATTAGGTACTTACAACCGTGTGTTGATGATAATTTATTTTAAGTCTAAGCCTTATAATATTATTGAACACTAGACACTAGACAGTACATGGACAAAAAGTGCAAGTAAGAGCTCTTTATATTTGTGTTTTTTGGTAGATATTTATTATGTAGAACAAATGAATGTCTTAAATATTCAAAAATACATTGTCCTAGATAATGTTGATACCCACCCCATGTGGTCAAGGGCTGGGGTTGTTGAAAGTCTCTACAGGTGTGTTCTTTATAAAGCCCTCTTTAATCATGTTAGGCACTGACTATTTATTTTACTGTATTCGTCGATCATATTTCTCATGTTATTTTTAGTGAACTGGCCATTGGTTGTATTGTCCTGCGAGGATCAATACCAATTGCATGCTTATCTCTAACTTTCAGGTCTTATTTAAAATGACTCAAAGTGGAAGTGGGAAGCTGATAAAAAGGGACGATCTAAACTTTGTCCTAAAATTTAAGGACTTTACTTTTGCGAAATTCAGACACATGTGCATTCTCTCAGGATGTGATTATGCTTCGTCTATGACAGGGATTGGACTACAATGTGCAATAACTGTTTTGGAGGCAGCTGACATAAAGGCACACAATGGGCCACAACTAACATATGAGAAATCCTCCACAAGCCTTCCCTTGTCATCCTTAAAGGATATTGTGACATGTTCGAGAAGGCAGACGAAACCTTCCAGCATCAACCAGTGTTCAACCCTGATTCCAAAAGAGTGGTTCCAGTTAATGGAGATGTCGCCAATGAGTTTTTTTTTAACCAACTTTCCGTATCATTTATTATAACCCAAAAGTGTTCTACCTTGAGATCTAATCAGTGTGTTTCCATTCTTACAGATTAACTTTTCCAAAAAATATCATTGTAAACCAGTTGATAAATGGCAAAAATGAGAGAAAATCGAAGAGACTAGGCGCACAAAAGTGAAAGAATCAGTCTGCCATCTGCAATAGCATGATTGGACAAAATTGGTCACATGGACCGTGTCCAACACCGCCTGATTAAGATGATTATAAAAACATGTCTGAAGGAACTAAAGAAGAAGAGGATAACACGTCTGCGGGTGAATCAAGCGAAACCAGTGAAGATAGGTACATTGAGCAGAGTTTGGAAGTGATGTTCATTCTGACAAAGATATCACTGAAGTAATAAGTAAAACATCATTTAAAATTTGCTAAGCTGTCAAGTTCCTCCCACAAGATCGGATGTGAAGTGGGGGGGGGGGGTGGTAGTTATGTTACCTTAAAAGGGGTATGATATATGATTGAAGAAACAAACAAAAGTGAGAAATGAAGAAAGAACTATGTAAAATTTGGTCAGGTGGCGAATTCCTCCCGAGAGAGCGGAGGTGGAGGGGGGGGGGGGTTGGTAGTTATGTTACCTTAAAAGGGGGGAATAACAACAACAGCAACTTCAATTTCTCAAGCGATAAGCCCTAAATAGGGGGAACCAGTGGACACTCCTCTGGACAAGAAAGCCATTCTTAAGATCATTAACAACCTAACAGTGCTCAGATAAGAAGTGACCATGATATGGCTCTAGCTTTGCACAATAGCATTAACAATGAAGATGATGATGGAGGATGTGTGCCATTGTACCTACACCACATGATGCAGTGTCTGACCTTGCAGCAGTTGTGAAAGACTTGCAAAAGAAAGTTATTAAAGATTGCCACCTCTATTTGACAATGGGAAGAGGGATAAGCCTAAATCGTTTGGTTCAGCTGTGGCAATGTGAACGGAAAAAAACGCCTGTGAAGTACAAACCTTGCATTAAGTACTTAAGAGAAGAAGGAATAGACACTGGTGCATTGTCCAAAGAATTTCTGCCCAATGTGATTAATGATATTGCAAAGATTGTTTCCAAACGGAAGTCTAGTACATTCAACACTCTTCATTCAGAATGGGAATTTTAGAGCGATAAGAGAGATTGTTGCAGCCTGTCTTGCACAAAGTGTGCCTCTACCATGCTTCTTGGAAAAGTCCACTCACAACATGTTAGTGAATACAAATGTTGACCTCCAAAGTCTTGATAAAGAATGTCACCTGACACCAACACAGAGGGAACAGATTGATAAAATCGAGGGTGATCTCATTTACTAGTGTGACATCATTGACCACGGTTATACTGGCCTAATCAAGGAGGATATAATAGATGACATTATTGGCTCTATTGTTGTTTGCATTGTCAGCAGAAAATTACTCTCCTTTGGTAAAAATAAAGGAAGGTTTCAAAGCTTATGGCTTAAAAGACCTTCTTCTAAACCATTCTGAGTTATACAGACACCTTTTCATAAAGAGGCCCGTTAAAGCTTTTCATGCCAACTACTTGTCTAGGCTTTTTGAGCCAGAATTCATTAACATGGGAACCCCAGAGAGAATTGTGGAGGATCAGGTTGTCGATAACTTTTAGGACTTTCTTTACAGGCTTGAAGATGAACAGATTACAGGCTATTCATCAGCAGAGCCTGGAATTACGACCCTGATTGGCTAGGAAGAAGTGAAGAAGGTGACATTACAGTGGATGGAGAGAAGTATGGGGAAGCAAAGTTAAGTGTAGCAGGAGTTATGCAGTGGCTAACTGGGCAACAACACATAGTGTACATACTGTTCATCGCTGGAACGGTGTTTCAAACCTCTTAGTGCCAGAGGCAAAATTAATTCCCCATGAACAGCTTCTAGTCTCTGTCAAGCAGCAGCCAGCTTGCAGTTTGAAGTATCAATAAAAGAGTAATTTGTGACCAATGTAACCTGTGATCAGGCACTTCAGTCTGTTGCTATTTACTGTTTAACAGATTGTGCCCTTAGAACCTGGCCAATTGGTGTACCTACACCAAGACAAAAAACACAGCATTTAATCCTAAGCCAACAATTTTGGTAAAAATTTAATGCGGGTTTTGCTCATAAAAGGATACCCTTAAAGCCTCGAACTGTGGTGGTGGTCCGAAGGGTTATAAGACATGCATCGGCCCCCACTCTAATTATTGACAGGTCCCTTATGTTGATATGATATATGTCCATTGATACCTTGAATCCACTCAATGGTTCCACTTCACATAAATCAACACTGTTTGATAGATATCATATTTGTCTGCTTCTTTTGAACTATTAGATAAAATTAAGGAATAAATACGATTAGTATATACTCACTCAGTGATCTTGGTAACTCAAGCAATCTGATTGGTTAGCTATCTCGGACTATGACATTATATTCACCGCGCTAGGTGGTGAATATATAGCAGAACAAAATTGCTGTCGTGAACTGGGTGTTTTGCCAAAGTTTCATAGTAAAGCCTTTTTGAAAATACACGAATAACCAAGTGCTGATGACTTTGAGGGCAAGAAAAGACTTCATGGTGTTTGAACAGCGTGATTTAATTGTGAAGGGGTTTACTGTAGCTGACTTTTTGTACGCTCGAAGCTATGTTTACCACTACGGAAAACAAGGTCGCTTTGTCACCGATTTGTGATTTTGGGGTTTTCTCGCAAGACCAATTTTGCTTATAAATAGAAGTTAATTTATTGAGAAAGGAAGGCAAATATTTTCGAAAATTGTGCGCGCCAGCAAGTTAACAAGGCAAAGAACTTTGGAGATAAACTAGGCTCACCTTGATCGTAGCCACTGTTGACAGCATTTGCAATAAGTGACAAAGAAAATTTTCTCATTCATGGTGAGTTGACAGAGACAAATAAAGCTCTACTTTTCTTCTCAGAGTTAGGTACTAATTTAAATGTTCAGTGTTTTCCTTTAAACCGTTGACGCTAAAGCTTACAAAACTCGATACAAAAATTAAAACTATCATTCGCTGTTTGAAAATACTGTAAAGATCTAACTTTTGAGCATCCACTGTTTACGGCGTCATGTTCACACATGAATTCACCCGTCAATCAAACTAATCGTTTCTTTAATGGTTTCCTTTCTGATTCTGTTGATATCACTTCGTGTGAATATACTAAAACAATTATTCACTTCAGGCTCAGTTAATATTGTTGAATAATCCCCGAGACAAAGCCGAGGGGATTATTCAACAATATTACATTTGCCTTTGGCGAATAATTGTTAATTATTACTTACATATTGGTGCCATGTTAACAGAAAAAAAAAGAACACAACTTTACTGGTGAGCAACAATCCAAAGAACTAGTATTTACATTTCTGAACAAAACAATTTCCCAATTAAATATAAACAAGCAAAACTTTAAAATAGGCAATTCTTCCTTTATTCCAACCTCCATGCTCACTCTAAAGAGGAAACCAGATTTAAATTTACACCAAAAACAAATACATTAAGTCAACATATGGTAAATCTTGCTGTAAAACTCAAGGTGGCCACCTTCTCTACAGGCTGGTGCAGTTTATACATGATTTAATATTTTCACAAATTACTGTATATATTTTCATGTAATGTTACTTTTTACTACCGTTGTCGTATCTAGTGATATAGACGAGGCTGACAGAGAGAAAAGCACAAGTGGCAAAGGTAAGATAACAGTATAAAAGAGAAAATACAAAATCTGCCTCTTTGGTTTTTTAACTATCAAACAACATGTATGTAACATGTAACATGTAACATGCCCAGTATTAATGGCAAATTGGTTTTACCAACTGAAGGGGTTCAGTGCTCAAACCTCTCTACACTGCACAATTTACATCAGTTCACAAAATCAACTACATGTTTTGATAAATATACACATATAACTACTAACAGAGTGCCAATGGTAGTGACATACCATCCAAGTCTTCCTAACATTGGTAGTATCCTACGAAAACTTCAGCCTCTCTTGCATTGCTCACAAAAATACAGGAAAGCCATCGAAGAAGACCCTTCATGGTATTTCGAAAACCGAAGAGCCTGGGGGACTACCTAGTACACACTAAACTTAGGCCATCAACGCGTCTGAAGCGGAGCTCAAAGGGGACAGAGGTGTGTGTTAACAGAGATGCCAGGTCTGTAAATACCTGAAACTGGGAGAAAAGTTTACCTCTTAAAGAACTGGAAAGAGCTATACTATTAACTACGAACTGGACTGTAATAGTGGTAATGTTGTCTACTTGTTGTCCTGTAAGGTTTGTCATGTGCAGTATGTTGGGTCAACAACAACAAAAGGTAGGTTTAGGTTTAACAATCACAAGGCCCATTTTAGAGTGCATTCAAGGCTTTCTTTTGAGGGTAGCCACAAGGATGATCTTGTATATAGACATTTTTCTGGCCTGGGACACCATGGTCTTGAGGATGACAGTAAACAGTTAATTGACAGAGTGTCCGGGGTAGGGTCAGCTATCCGGGGTAAAGAAGGTCAGTGGGCCTATAGGTTGAACTGTATTCAGCCCCAGGGCTTGAATATAAGTGATTTTTTTTACAGCCAGAAAAGGGCGACTAGGTCTCGAGTCCGATAAAAGCGCGCACGTGTTTATCCTCCTTTGTAGTGCGTGCAAATTTTCATTTTTGTTCGTTATCATGTAATAATGGTGTGTGATGCTTGTAACGGCCATTCACCCTGATGAACACCGTTTAACACGGTCGAAATATAGGTGAGAGACAAAACACATATTGTTTTACTCTTCACTTGTGGTACTGCATATAAATATCTTAGATGCCCAAAGAAATATTATTACTCTTTGGCTACAAAGTAAATTGATTCATTACTTTATTAAAGAAACATGTCCACCTTTTACGTACAAAAACTGGAACTAAATGCGATCTACCGATTTTACATTTTTGAACTTACATGGT